GGCCCAAGAGGCCCCCAAGAGGCTTCCAAGACGGCCCAAGAGGCCTCCAAGAGGTCCTCCAGGAAGGCCCGAAGAGGCAAAATCATGGATTTTCCTTTGATGTTTGAAGGATTTTGGCATTTGCCCTTTTCCGCTTTCCGCCGGCCCCAGACGGCCCAAGAGGACTCCAAGACGCCCAAGATGGCCTCCAAGACGGCCAAGATGGCCTCCAAGATGCCTCCAAGACGGCCAAGATGGCCCTCAAGACGGCTAAGATGGCCCCAAGATGCCTCCAAGACGGCCCAAGATGCATCCAAGACGGACTTAGATGGACCCAAAAGGCCCCCAAGAGGCCTCCAAGATGGCCCAAGAGGCCTCCAAGAGGTCCTCCAGGAAGGCCCGAAGAAGTAAAAATCATTGATTTTCCATCGTTGTTTGAAGGATTTGGGGATTTGCGCCTTTTCGGCATTCCGACGGTCCAAGACGGCCCAAGAGGCTCCCAAGACCGCCCCCAGATCGCCCAAGAGGCCTCCAAGATGGCCCCGTGACGGCCCATGACGCCCCCAAGACCGCCCCAAGAGGGCCCGAAGACGGCCCAAGACGGCCTCCAAGACGCCCAAGATGGCCTCCAAGACGGACCCGAAGCGCCCCAAGAGGGCCCCAAGTCGTTTCAGAGAGGCTCCCAAGACGGCCCCCGACGGCGTCAGACGGGCCAGGAACGCCATAAGACGGCCAAAGAAGCCCCCGAGAAGCCCCAAAAGGGTCCCAAGAGGCCCTCAAGAGGCCCCAAGAGAGCCCAAGATAGCCCCAACATGGTCTCCAAGACAGTCCCAAGATGGTCCAATCGAGCCCAAGAGTGCCTCAAGAGGCTCCGAAGAGGCAAACCCCTTCTGCTTTTTCCTTCTTCTCCTCCTCCTCCCCTTCCTCCCCCCCGCGTTCCCCGAAACCTTTCCAAACCGACCCGGGGAACACATGGTCCGATAGCTTGGCCAAGCTCTAGCCCAGCTGTCGGACACATAGGCGCTTCCACAAAGGCAGGGGGCGGCGGCGATTCGCCGTAGGCGTCTTCGATCCGCCGCCCCCTGTCGACCTGGGCCGGCACGGGAACGGAAAGAGCGCTTCAGATTCAGAAACTGACCCGTGTCTCTAGTGCTTCTTGGAAGTCTTCTTGGGGCCATGATGGGGCTCTTTAGGACCCGTTTGGGGCCCTCCTGGGCACTCCTCAGCCGTTTTGGGCCGTCTCGGGGCGTGTTGGATGCCTTTGGCCGTCTTGGGGCTCCCTTGGGGCTCTCTCAGGAGCCTCTTGGGGCCTTCTTGGTGCTCTCTTGGGAGCCTCCAGGGGCCCTCTCGGGCCGTCTTGGGGCCATATTGGGCAGTCGTGGGGCTCTCTTGGGCCGTCTCGGGGCCCTCTTGGAAGCCTCGTGGGCCGTCTTGGGACGATCCTTGGGGCCTCTTGGGCCGTTCTTGGTATCGAACAGGCCAAATGGCCGTTCCGCTCATTATTTTACGAGGCGGACGGGCCATTAGCATGGGCCAGGTTGGGGCCAGCTTGGGCAGTCTTGGGCCCCTCTTGGGCTGTCTTGGAGCCTCTTCGGCCGTCTTGGGATACTCTTGGAAGCCTCTTGGACCGTCTTGGGAAGATCTTTTGGGCCTCTTGGGCCGTCTTGGGCCGTTCTTGGCATCGAGCAGCCCAAATGGCCGTTCCACTCGTCATTTTACGAGGCGAAGGGCCTATTAGACTTTCCGACTGGCCGTCCCCCCCCCCCTGGACCCCCCCCTTGGGCTGACGCCCTACCTAGAACGGAACCGCGTGAATGCTCATTCCGTCATTCATCGCGGGGGTGCCTGGCGTGCTGGACCCTCTCGGTTTTGGTTTTGGTTCTTTTTCCAAGAGAGCTCCACCTGGGCCTCCGGCGCGTCCCGCCGGGGTCCCGGAAGGATTGGGTTTTCCTACCAAGACGGCTCCAAGATGGCCCAAGATGGCCTCCAAGATGCTGTCAAGACGGCCAAGATGGCCTCCAAGACTGCTAAAATGGCCACAAGAGGCCTCCAAGACGGCCCAAGATGTACCCAAGATGGCGTCAGATAGCCTCAAAATGGTCCAAGACTGCCCAAGAGGCCTCAATACGGCCCAAGAGGCCTCCAAGAGGTGCTCCAGGAAGGCCTGGAGGGGGCAAAATCATAGATTTTCCATAGGTTTTTGAAAGATTTTGGTATTTGCCGCTTTTCGGCTTTCCGACGGCTCAAGACGGCCCAGGAGGCCTCCCAAGATCGACTCAAGAAAGCCCAAGAGGCCTCCAAGATGGCCCCATGACAGCCCAAGAGGCCCCCGAGACGGCCCCAAGAGGGCCCCAAGGCCGCCCAAAAGGCCTCCAAGACGCCTAAGATGGCCTCGAAGACGGCCCCGAAGCGCCCCGAGAGGGCCCCAAGCCGGTTCAGAGAGGCCCCCAAGACGGCTCCCGACGGCGTCAGACGTGCCAGGAACCCACCAAGATGGCCGAAGTTGGCTCGAAGTTGGCCCAAGACGGCCCAAGAGGCCTCCAAGAGGGCCTCCAGGAAGGCCAGAAAAGGCAAAAATCACTGATCTTCCTGAGGCTTTTGAAGGATTTTGACATTTGCTTCTTTTCTGCCTTCCGACGGCCCGAGACGGCCCAAGAGCTCCCAAAGATCGCCCAAAGGTCGCCCAAGAGGCCTCCAAGATGGCCCCAGAACGGCCCAAGAGGCCCCCGAGACGGCCCCAAGTGGCCCCAAGACAGCCCAGGAGGCCTTGAAGACGACCAAGATGGCCTCCAAGACGGCCCTGGAGCACCCCAAGAGGGTCCCAAGTCGGCCCAGAGAGTCCCCCCAAACGGCTCCCGACGGCGTCAGACGGGCCAGGAGCCCACCAAGACGGCCGAAGATGGCCTTAAGGTGGCCCAAGACGGCCCAAGAGGCCTCCAAGAGGGCCTCCAGGAAGACCCGAAGAGGCCAAAATCATTGATTTCCCATGAGTTTTTGAAGGATTGTGGCATTTGCTTTTTTTCGGCCTTCCGACGGCCCGAGACGGCCCAAGTGCCCCCAAAGATCGCCCAAGAGGCCCAAGACGGCCCCAAGAGGCCCCCAAGACGGCCCAAGAGGCCTCCAAGACGCTGAAGATGGCCTCCAAGACGGCCCAAGACCAAGACGTTCTTCAAGAATGCCCGAAAGGGTCAAAATGGCCTCCAGACTGACAAGATGACCTTCAAGATGCCCACGTGTTCCCCGAAGGCTTTCCAAACCGATTCGGGGAACACATGGTCTGGTAGCTTGGCAGATCTGGCCTCAACGTTCGGCCACATAGGCGCTTCCAAAAAGGCAGGGGGCGGCGGTGATTCGCCGTAGGCGTCTTCGATCCGCCGCCCCCTGTTGACTCATCACAGGGGTGCCCGGCGTTCTGGATTTCTTACGTTCTGGCTTTGGTTCTTTTTCTAAAAGAACTCCCCCTGGGGTTTCGGACCGTCCTGCCAGCTGCCTGCCTCATCGGCTTCTTCGCTCAAGATGGCCCAAGATGGCCTCCAAGATGCCTCCAAGACGGCCAAGGTGGCCTCCAAGACAGCTAAGATGGCCTCAAGACGCCTCCAAGAAGGCCCAAGATGCACCCAAGACGGCCTAAGGTAGCCTCAAGATGGCCCAAGACGGCCTAAGAGGCTTCCATGAGGCCTCCGAGAGGCCTCCAAGAGGTCCTCCAGGAAGGCCCGAAGAGGCCCAAATCATTGATTTCCTTTGATTTTGACAGATTTTGGGATTTGCCCCTTTTCGGCATTCCGACGGCCCCAGACGGCCCAAGAGGCCCCCAAGGTCGCCCCAAGAGCGTCCAAGAGGCCTCCAAGATGGCTCCCTGGCGACCCAAGAGGCCCCCAATACGGCCCCAAGAGGGCCCCAAGACGGCCCAGGAGACCTCCAAGGCGCTCAAGATGCTCTCCAAGGCGGCCCTGAAGCGCGCTAAGAAGGCCCCAAGACGGCCCAGCGAGGCCCCCAAGACGGCTTCCGACGGCGTCAGACGAGTCAGCAGCGCCCAAGACAAAGGAAAATTGCACAACGGCCGCCCCCAAGAGGCCCAAGGAGGTCTCCAAGAGACCTCCAAGAGGCACCCTAGAAGCACCCAGAAGGCCCCAAGAGTGCTCCAGAGCTTCTCGAGAGGCCTCTTATGTTTTCCTCCCCCACGTGTTCCCCGAAAGCTTTCCAAATCGACTCAGGGAACTCATGGTCCGACAGCTTGGCCAGGCTCTAGCCCAACTCTCGGCAACGTAGCGGTTTCCAAAAAGGCAGGGTTTCGAAGATGGTCCTCAATGAGGCCAAGATGGCCCTCAAGAGGCCTCCTCCTCCTCCCCTTTTTCCTCCCCTTCCTCCTCTTCCTCCCCCACGTGTTCCTCGAATGCTGCCCAAACCGACTCGGGGAACTCATGGTCCGATAGCTTGGCCAAGCTCTAGCCAAACTGTCGGCCACGTAGGCGTTTCCAGAAAGGCAGGGGGCGGCGGTGATTCGCCGTAGGCGTCTTCGATCTGAGCACGTAGGTGGCGACTGATCCTGGGATCTTCCAGAGCACACCGAATCAAAGCACGTCTGAAGGCAGCGACCACTCTAGAATTCTCTGGAAGACTGTGGGTGCTTCTGGAACAAGGTGCGCGTATCCTAGCGCTGCCTGGTCCTCCCCTCGCTGCCTCGACCTAGCCCTGTGTTCGATTGATCATGTTTGCCAGCATCCTCTTACTCATTCGATTACGCTGTCTCCTGTCTCCACCTCCACATTCTACCCATGCCCTACATTGTCATCCTCTCCATCGCCCTCGCCTTCATCATCCTCCGGCAAAGAATTGTAAGTGAGCCAGCTCCCGTTTCACGCAAGGCAAATCCCTGCCACACTAGGCCTCGGGAGGCCGGGGCTCGTGTAAGTTCATCGTTCGTCCGCCTTGCGACCTTGGACTCCGTCGTAGCCGATCTCCCGGATTCTCCTCCGACCGCTAATAACCCCAAACTCTTGCTCACGAATCCTGAGCCGCGCTTCCTTGTCGGCATTGACGACGCAGAGTTCGAAGAGCACCTTGTCTGCTGGTTTGCCCATCACCGCCGCACCGAGCCGCCCGACCTTGGAAGTGCGACCAGCACGACATGTGTGTATATATCCATAGAGAGAGGGAGAAAGAAACTATATACAACAACCACAAATAATTGTACCCAGTTCTATGGATCACGTTACCCCTCTTGTATAGCATCATGGGCGTATCTATTTTAACATTTATAAATGTGTGTATCGCACACTCGCTCGCGGCATGTGTATGTATATACACACATATGGTACATATACGCATACATAAACATATATATATATATAGTCGTATAAATGTACAGAGAGGGAGATCAGAAACAGAGAGCGAGAGAGAGAGAGAGGGAGAGCAGAAAAGAGAGAGAGAGAGAGAAAAGCAACTTGCAGATATACAGAGATAGCCCATTCATCCAGCACCGCGCCGCCGGGCACGGAGTGGGCGTGTCTTCAGGCCCTTCTGCGACCCGTCTGAGCCTCAGCCGTCATTCCTGAAGAGTTCTTAAGGGGGTCGGAGCCTATCGGGCCAAATCTCCTGGGGCGGCCCGCGGCTCCCATGCGGTTTGTCGCCTGAGGCCCCAAGACGGGACAAGAGAGCCCCGAGAAGCCCCCAAGACGGTCCGAGGGGGCTTTGAGTCGCCCCTTTCAGAAGACCCCCACGAGATCCCAGCATACATCAAACAGGCGTCACAACCACAACCCAGGCACGGTGGCGGGATGGGCCGAAGGCCATTAGAGAAAGCAGGTGGGTGTGTGAGTGTGTGTGTGTGTGCGTGTGTGATTGTGTGCGTGTGTACGGGTGTGTGTGTGTGTGCTGTGTGTGTGGTGTGTGTCGTCTGTTTTGTGTGTTGCGTGTGTTGTGTGTTGTGTGGTGTGTGCGGTGTGTACGTGTGTGTGGTGCGTGTTGTGTGTATGTTGTGTGTTGCGTGTGTGTGTTGTGTGTGATGTATGTTGTCTGTGTGCTGTGTGCTGTGTGCTGTGTGTGTTGTATATTGTGTGTTCTGAGTGTTGTGTGTTGTGGGTGTTGTGTGTTGTGTCTTGTGTGTGTGTCTGTGTGTGTTGTGTGTTGTGGGTGTTCTGTGTTGTGTGTGGATTGCGTGTGTTGTGCGTGTTGTGTGTTGTTTGTTGTGTGCTGTGTGCCTTGTGTGTATTGTGTGGTAGTTGTCTTGTGTGTTGTGTGTTGTGGGTTGTGCGTGTTGTGTGTGCGTGTGTGTGTGTGTTGTGTGTTGTGTGCTGTGCGTTGTGTGGTGTGTGTGTGTGTTGTGTGTGATGTGTTTTGTGTGTTGCGTGTGTTGGGCGTGTTGTGTGCTGTGTTGTGTGCCGTGTGTTGTGTATGTTGTGTTTGTTGTGTGTGTGTTGCGTGTGCTCTGTGTTGTGTGTGCTGCTTGTGTTGCGTGTTGTGTGTGTTGTGTGTTGTGTGTTGTGTGTTGTGTGCGTTGTGTGTGATTTGTGCGGTTTGTGTGTTATGTAATGTGAGTTGCGTGTGTTGTCTGTGCTGTGGTGTGCCTGTCATGTGTTGCGCGCGTTGTGTATGTTGTGTGTGTTGCGTGCGTTGTGTGTTGCGTGTTGTGTGTGGTGTGTGTTGTGTGCGCTGTGTGTTGTATGTGGTGTGTATGGTGTGTGGTGTGTGGGGTGTGTGTTGTGTGTGTGGTGTATGGTTGGTGTGTGTGTGGTGTGTGCGTGCGTGCGTGCGTGCGTGCGCGCGTGCGCGCGTGCGTGCGTAGTGTGTGTAAGGTGTGTGCGTGCGTGTAGTGTATCGTGTGTGCGCGTGTGTGTAGTGTGCGTAGTGTGTGTGTAGTGTGCGTAGTGTGTGTAGTGTGCGTGTAGTGTATGTGAAGTGTGCGTAGTGTGTGTAGTGTGCGTTGTGTGCGTGTAGTGAGAATGTGTTCGTGCGTGCGTGCGTGCGCGCGTGCGTGCGTGCGCACGCGCGTGCGTGTGCGCGCGTGCTTGCGTGCGTGTGCGCGCGCGCGTCCGTGCGCGTGTGCGTTTGCGTTCGTGCGTGCGTGCACGTGTGCATGCGTGCTTGCGTGGGCGCGCGTGCGTGCGCGTGGGTGCATGCGAGCGCGCGCGTGCGCGCGTGCGCGTGTGCGTGCGTGCGCGCGTGCGCGCGTGTGCCCGCGCGCGCGTGCGCGCGCGTGCCCGTGCGTGCGTGCGCGCGCGCGTGGGTGGGTGCGCGCGTGCGTTCCCGCGCGCGAGAGCGCGCGCGCGTGCGTGCATGCATGCGTGCGCGCGCGCGTGCGCGCGCGTGTGATGGTGTGTGCGCGCGCGTGTCTGCGTGCGCGTGCGCGCGCGCATGCGTGCGCTTGTGTGCGCATGCGCGTGTTGTGTGTGTGTGTTGCGTGCGTTGTGTCTGTTGCGTGTTGTTGGTTGCGCGGGTTGTGTTGTGTACTGCGTGCGGTGTGTGTTGTGTGTTGTGGATTGTGTGTTGTGTGTATGTTATAAGTGCTGAGTGTGTTGTGTGCGTTGTGTGCGTTGCGGTGCGTGCATTATGTGTGTTTTGTGTTGTGTGTTGCGGGTGTTTTGTGTGTTGTGTGTGTGTTGTGCGTCTTGCCTGTTGTGTGCGGTGTGCGTTGTGGGTGTAGGTGTTGTGTGCGTTGTGTGTTGTGTGCGTTATGTGGTGTGTGTTGTGCGTTGCGTGTTGCGTGTGGTGTGCGTCCTGTGTGATGTGCTGTGCGTGTTGTGTGTTGTGTGCGTTGTGTGCTGTGAGAATTGTGTGTTGTGTGTTGTATGCGTCGTGCGCGTTGCGCGTGTTGTGTGCTGTGTGTTGTGTGTGTTGCGCGATGCGTGCTGTGTTTGTTGCGCGTGCTGTGTGTTCCGTGTGTTGCGTGTGCTGCGTGCGTTGTGTGTGTTGTGCGGTGTGCGTGTTGTGTGCGTTGTGCGTTGTGCGTGGTGTGTGTTGTGTGTGCTGCTTGGGTTGCGCGTTGTGTGCGTTACGTGGGTTGCGTGGGTTGCGTGTGTTGTGCGTGCTGCGCATGTTGGGTTTGGCGTGTGGGTGGCGCGTTGTGTGTTGTGTGTCGTGCGTGTTGTGCCTGTTGTGTGTTGTGTGCGTTGCGCGCTGTGTGTTGTGCGCGGTGCGCGCGGCGTGCGCAATGCGTGCGTTGTGCGCGCGGCGCGCGTGGAGCGGCGCGCGCGGCGTGGGCGACGCGCGCGCGCGTGTAGCGGGTGCGCAGCGCGCGCAGTGCGCGCGCAGTGCGTGCGCAGCGCGCGCAGTGCGTGCAGTGCGCGTGTAGTGCGTGCGTAGCGCGTGCAGTGCGCAACGCGCGCAATGTGTGTAGCGCGCGCGTAATGCGCGCGTAGCGCGCGTAGCGCGTGTAGCGCGTGCGCGATGCGCGCGCGTGAGTGCGCGCGCGCGTTGCGCCTGCGCGCGTGTCGCGGGCGTTGCGTGCGTTGCGCGTGTTGCCCGTATTGTGCGTTGCGCGTGTTGCGCGCGTTGTGTGCGTCGCGTGCGTTGTGTGCGCGGTGCGTGTTATGTGTGTTGTGTGTTGTGCGTGTGATGTGTGCGTTGCGTGCGTTGTGTTATGTGTATTGGGTTGTATGTTTGGGGTATTGTGCATTGTGTATTGTGTGAGTTGTGAGTTGTGTGTTGTGTACGTTGTGCGCGTTGTGTGTGGAATGTGTGCTGTGCGTGGTGCGTGCGTAGTGCGTGTTATGCGGCGTGCGTCGTGCGTTGTGCGTGTGGTGTATGGTGCGCGTGTTGTGTGCGTTTTGTGTTGGGTGTGTTTTGTGTATTGTGCTTTTGCGTTGTGTGCGTGGCGTGTGTTGCGTGTGAGTTGTGTGCGCCGTGCGCGTTCTGAGTTTTGCGTTGTCTGCGCTGCGGGTTGTGCGTTGCGTGCGTTGCGTGCGTCTGCGTTGTGTGTTGCGTGCGCTGCGTGTTGCGCGCGCTGTGCGCTGCGTTCGTCGCGTATGTTGCGCGCGGTGCGCGTTGCGAGCGTTGTGCGCATTGCGCGTGTTGCGCGTGCGTCGCGTGCGTTGTCTGCGTTGTGTGTTGCGTGCGTTGTGCGCTATGCGCGTCGTGTATTGCGCGTGCTGTGTGTGCATTGTGTGTAGTGCGTGTTGTGCTGTGTGTCGTTTGCGCTGCGTGCGTTGCGCGTTGTCGCGCGCGTTGCGCGTTGCGCGCTGCGCGCGGCGCGCGCGCGCGTTAGTGCGCGTAGTGCGCGCGCAGCGCGCGCGCAGTGCGCGCGCGCGCGAATGCGCGCGTGTAGTGCGCGCTTAGTGCGCGCGAAGTGCGCGCGAGCGTGCGCGCGCGTGCGCGCGCGTGTGCGTGGCGTGCGTCGCGCGCTCTGCGCGCTGTGCGGTGCGCGCGTTACATGTGTTGCGCGTGCGTTGGGTGCGTTGTGTATTTCGTGCGTTGTGTGCGTTACGTGTTTTGTGTACGTTGCGCGTGGTGTGTGTTATGCTGTTGTGTGATGCGTGTGTGTGTGTTGTGCGTTGTGTGTTGTGTGTTGTGTGTGTTGTGTGTTGTGTGTTGTGTGTTGTGTGTGGTGTGCGTTGTGCGTTGTGCATGTTGTGCGTCGCGTGTGGTGCGTGTTGTTTGTGTGTTTCGGGTGTTGCATGTGTCTTGTGCGTGCTGTGTGCGTCGCGCGTTGTGCGTGGTGTGCGTTGTGCGTGTTGCGTGCGGTGCGTGCGTTGTGCGTTGTGTGTTGTGGGTTGTGTATGCTGTGAGCGTTGTGTGTTGTGTGTTGTGTGCGTTGTGCGTTGTGTGTTTTTGCGTTGTGTTTTGTGCGTTGTGTGTTGTACGTGTTTCGTGTGTTGTGCGTTGTGCGTTGCGTGTGGTGCGTGTCATGTGTGTTGCGTGCGTTGTGTGCGTTGTGTGCGTTGTGCGTTGTGTGAGCTGCGTGCGTTGCCTGTGTTGCATGTGTTGTGCGCGTTGTGCGCGTTGTGCGTATTGTGTGTTTTGTGCGTTGTGTGTGTTGCGTGTCGTTTGTGTGTTGTGTGCGTTGTGTGTGTTGTGTTTGTTATGTGTGTTGTGTTGTCC